GAAGGACTCAGAATAGAAAATAATTATGTTTCTCCTTCCCAGGTTATGGTCCAGAGAACTGCAAGCCTTTTAGCAAAACCTTGCAACTAGCACTGTATGGATGTGGCAAGGGAGTAATTGCCAATGACATGCCCAGACCACATTCCTGAAAAGTTACCTCAATCCCAATCATGCCAGCATGATGTAGAAACCATTAAGGAGTTTGCTTTGGGCCCATGGGTGCAAAAGAGCCTGGGATTAAGGAGGACCCAGAACACAAAGATCCGTGGTAGCAGCAGGGACCTCAGCCTCAGATGCAATAGAGCAGACAGTGCCATTCAAGACTAAGTCAGAACAAGTTCAGTGCAGCCATTATGGAAAACAGCATGGAAATTCCTCAAAAGACTAAAATTGGACTTACCATATGATCCAGCAATCACACTCCTGAGCATATACTGAGAGAGAACCTTAATTCAAAAAGATACCTGCACACCAATGTTCATAGCAGCACTATTTACAATAGCCAAGACACAGAAACAACTTAAATGTCCATCGACAGATGACTAGATAAAGAAGCTGCGGTATATTTATATAATGGAATACTACTCAACCATAAAAAAGAATAAACTAATGCCATTTGCAGCAACATAGATGGACCTGGAGATTGTCATTCTAAGTGAAGTAAGCCAGAAAGAGAAAGAAACATACCACATGATATCACTTATATGTGGAATCTAAAAAAAAAAAAAAAGACAAACGAAATTATTTACAAAACAGAAACAGACTCACAGACATAGAAAACAAACCTATGGTTATGGGGGGGGTGGGGGGAGGGATAAATTGGGAGTCTGAGATTTGCAGATACTAACTACCATATATAAAATAGATAAATAACAAGTTTATACTGTATAGCACAGGGAACTATATTCAATACCTTGTAGTAACTTATGGTGAAAAAGAATATGAAAATGAATCTATGTATGTTCATGTATGACTGAAGCATTGCGCTGTACACCAGAAATTGACACAACATTGTAATGTACTAAAGAAAAAAAAAAAAGACTAAGCCAGAACAAGGTACAACTCAGGAGTGGCACAAAGATGAGACGCCCTCTCTTCAATACCAGGAAATATTACAGGGCTTCTCTACTAATACCTTACAGACCAGAGGGAAAAAAGGGAAAGTTATGTGGAAAAACTGAGTATTTATCCACAGAACTAACTACTTACCCAAGGGTCTGATTTCATCTGGAATTAACTAGGTTAAACCAGAAGCTACTGACTTTATCTTAAATTGCAAAGATTATTTTCTACTACCCACTAGAGATAAGAAGCTCCAGAGACAAGGAAATTTTAGTTATAGAAAAACAATGAAAGTTACATGTTTACACATTCAAGTTTGTAGTTTATGAAATCTATGCCTGATATACTTCCAATTAGGTGTCTCACTGCACAAAAAGTAAAATGTCAAATCCTTGCCTGCGTGATCTACCACTGCAAAATCACAACATGCTGCTCTTTACTTGGAAACCAAAATTACATTGGTTTCTGTCCATTCCTAAAACATGCCAAGGTCTTTCCTCTCTCATGGCTTTGCCACTCGCTATTTCCTTTACTCACTCCCATAGCTCTTTATATAGGTTGCTCCAACTCAACCTTTAGTTTCAATGTAAATGTTCTTCCTTGAAGAGGCCTCTCTGACCACCTTGTAAAAAGCAGCACAGCACCCCATTACCTCCTATCCTGCACCCCTTGCAATCTAAACTCCCAAGCTCTATCCTCATCTGTCTTGTTCTCCCCAGGGTCTGGTCAACGATAGGCACTCAATAAATAGTTCTACGTGAATGAAAGAATCAAAGTTAAATGGGAGAGACAAAATAAATTTGAAAATCTTCTAATAAATCTAAGTATTAAAGAGTTAAAAAAAATTAAAAGTGGACAACCACCACATTTTAATTTGAATATCAAAGTCAAAAAAAGACCATAAGTAAGTTTCTCTTTCTGTTTTAAGAACAATGCAATTACAAAGTTTCAGAAAGGTGGTATGTAAAACCATAGGGCGCTTTCTCCAGGCTAAAGCCATTTGAAACAGAGACAAACATCCAGCAAAGAATCAGGGCAAGTTTTTTTTTAAATTAAAATAAATAAATAAAGCCCACAAGAATAAAATTTAGCGTATAAAAACACCAAAGACCCAAAGAGACTGAATATAATGGAAGGTGCTTCATAGTCTTTTATGGTTAAACAGTAATGTAAGACAGCAATTCTCCCCACATGACTCTATAAATCTAATGCAACTTCGCGTAAAACACAAAAGGATCGTGTATGTTTCAGTTAATCATGATCAATATCAGACATACTTAAATATATAAACAGAAACATAAGTTCCAGCTCTCCAAAATGATGAGCTAGATTCAAGCCAACTCGTCCTATGAAAACTGCTAAAAGCACTAGATGAAATATAAAAAACAAATTATTAAAAGTCACTAAGAGATAACAAGATAGTAAGGAATCACAGGGTATGAGAAACATAATTCAAAGCACAGAACCTACATAAAATGATGAGTTTAGTAAGATGGTAACCAGTAACCCTAAAGGGCAACACTCTTAGGGTAACAGTCATCTGAAAGTAAACCAGGCCCTGGAGTCCTGTAACCAAGGTTTGCATTGTCTGATGGTCCTGGGAATTGCAAACCTTGGATTAAGGTGGCACTTTGCCTGACCTCAGGCAACTATAGAACAAAGCTTAAAAAATTTAAAAGTCAGAAAACACAAAAAGAGTAAGTAAGATACATAGAAGATAAAGTGAGAGAGGACAGAATTGAGTAGAGACAGTATTTGAAGAGGTAACAGTTGAAAATGTTCTCAAACCTATAAAAGATGCCCATCTCTAGATTCAAAAAATCACAAAGAACAAACAAACAACAGAGGATATCAGTAAGGCCAGTCATACACTGGTCTTATGAAGAGATACACCATCTGGTGAGCTGCCCCACCTGATCTCATGCCATTTCTTCTCCTGCCTCTCCTTCCTTCTCCTTGCCCCCACCCTCTGCCATACACACATACACACACACACACACACACACACACACATGTATACACACACTCCAGCCACAGTGAATTATGATGCAGCTACCTAATGCACATCATTTTGATCAGGCTTTTTTGGTTTAAAAAAGAAAACTCAGACCACATTTAAAAGAGGGGACAGGGATATTATATACATAGATGAGAAACAAAATTAAAACTGGAAAACCTCTTTCTGATCATGTCATATCACAGGCTTCTCGCCAGCATTTAGACTGGATGTGGCTGCCCAAAAGGCATCTGCTGCCCAAAGGGACCTTCCCAAAAGGCAATCGGTCATCTGTAGCCTGAGAAACAGTAGATTAAAGACACATGACCACCTTAAAGGACTGAGGACATAGCAGTGATGGTGATTAAGATCAACAGTATATGTACAGGTAATGTGGCAAAAAGCATGTTGGTCAATATGACAGATTGGCTGCAATGACAATCAAAAATAAATATACATACATACATACATACATACATAACATACACCTGTACTAATATTAATTTCTTAGTTTGATAAAAATATATCACATAAGATGTTGATATCAGGAAAAGACGGGTGAGGGAAACTCTTTGCAGTATCTTTGTACGTCTTCTGTAAATCTAAAGTTATTTCTAAAGGAAAATTATTACAAGAGAAATTATTATCAGTAAAATTATTCAAAATAAAAAATGGAAAAACTAAAAATACCTAGTCATTTTTTCCTTTGGTAGTTTCCCCCACTACCAAAATGCAGAACGTTCCAAAGGAACCTTTCATAAGCTGAAACAGCGTAAAGCGAAGAAGCAAGTTACCTTAGGAGAACTCTAGCTAATGGATGCACAAAACAGACTGAGACAAAGCACAGATATGCACAGGACCGCTTCAAAGCCATGGCCACCTGATGCTGAGATGTTGACTGTGGTTCCCAAGTAGGAGCTTGGCGGTGCCACTTTCGCTTCTCATGGTTGGCTCCCTTCAAAACAAACGCTGAATGCTATTTTTGCTTTTTGCCATTTTTCATTAAAGCGAAAATCCTCTTTAGATTTCTTTCAGTTACTGAAAACAGGTACTAACGTGGGTCTTTCATAAAAGTGAAGTGGCATAAAGCAAATTTTCCAAACGTGAAGGATTACCTGTATTCATACCTTAATTATATCACAGGGTGCTTTCATGTACCTAGATTTTTTTTAAGCATTACTCTCTCATATTTCAAAAATTTCAGGTTTTATCCTGCTTTTAAAAATTCTAATTCATGTTTACTAGTTATTACTGCTTTAACTGATAATTATAGAGAAAAACGAGAACAACTTAAATATTTCATACTGAGAAACAAAATGAAAAAATCGTGATTTAGATAAGAAATAATATGAATTGATAGAAATAAGTTGGTGGCAGAGGGTATAGCTCAAGTGGCAGAGCGCATGTGTAGCATATACAGGGTCCTAGGTTCAATCCCCAGTACCTCCTCCAAAAATAAATAAGTAAATAAACATAATTACATCCTCCCTAAAAAATAAAATAACAGAAGTAAAATTTAAAAAAAAAAGAAAAAAAGAGCTTAGGAGTAAAACCTAAGCTTTCTATTCCATTTAGCTTGTTTCTGAGTTCAGGCAGCAAGAGCTGGGTCAGTGAGGAACACCTATAGTTAAAAATGCACAGGTGTCATGGACTTAGGGGAAGAATTACTGTTATTCTCATTTGTACACTTTTTAATTTATCTCTAAGGAAGTGTTAAAATGAATGAAAACCGTAAGAGACAAGGAACTAGAATTTCTCAAAGCATGGTTTTTTGAGTTTTTCCACTCAAACTTTTTCTAATTAATTTAAAGCCAATTGTGGTTGCCTCTCTAATGTGGTTTGGTTCACTTTTTTAGTGTTTGTATTGTATTTTTTAAAAAGTCAGAAAAAAATGAAATTACAGAAGATAGTCAAAGTTTAAAATTCACCTGAATAGACTTACCAGATAATTTATTCAAAATAATTCCATTCTATATCTGATCTAGGAAAAAACACATGAAGGTAAGGATAAACACTTGCTTTAATTTGAATCTTTCATCAAAAACTTCTCTCATTCTTGAAGTCCTGATATTTCTTCTTTCTGTATTAGCACCTTTTCACTGACACTTCATTCTTTTTTTCTTTTTTAAATAACTGAGTGGAATTTTCATTGTGGATAGCTGGCAGATATCAGTTTCTAGAATCTAGGATGTAATCCCTTTGTGCTTCACTGGTTTTAGATGGCCTGCAAGGATGCAACCATAAAGACTCTCCAGTTGACGAGGACACTGTGGAGGACAAAACTAAGTAAAGGGCACCTTTACATATCTACCCAGGTATCTTCAAAACAGTCTTATCCCAAGCTGTGCTTCTGATAGTTACTATAACACAGAGACAACAATGAGGCTGTCATTTACGCCCTTAGGACAAAGATAAGAAAAACTTCTAATTTCAACATAAAGGCTAGATTAGTCATTTTGTTAATTTAAGCCACTTGCCTATGTGTTAACACCGATGGCAGTGAGTTGCTGATGGTAGTTTCATCTGAAAATTTGCTGAAGTCATTTGAACACCTGATATTTCATTACAATTCCCAGATTTCCCCCTGAAGTTGAGGATGGGTTTCTGCTCTGTCCTCTTGTCTGGCAATGGAGTAAACACCACAGCATGGAGTTATTGCCTTACAAGCTGTCCATGGTGGGGGAAAAAAAAAACTGTTCAAAAAAAGGAGGTATGATCTTAAAACTATCACTTTTATGTAAGATCTCAAAGGGAACTAGACTCTGCAGATTTGAAACCATACGTATCCCAATTCCCAGTGTCATATTTAAGAATCTTTCACCTCCCTTATACTGTATTTCTTAAAATTCTTTTTAATGGAGGTACTGGGGATTGAACCCAGGACCTCATGCATGCTAAGCATGTGCTCTACCACCGAGCTATTCTCACCCCCCAAACTGTACTTGTATTCTAAGAAAATATATTATCATGATAAGAGAACACAGAGCAGGTCAGTTATTTTCAAGGACAAATATGGCAAACACTGTTGGCTGTCAATTGAGCAATTATTTCTTCCATCATTTTCTTCCTTGCTGGCAGAGCCTGCCTATATTTCAAAACCTAAAAGTGCCAGAAAGTCCTCCTTCTAGCCTCCCTTACAGCAATCACATGGGCCTAGGAGAGCTAAAGCTGGCAGGCAGGCCTTTGGAAAAGGTTTTCTTTGCCAATAAAGAGATATGTACGGGAGGAAACTGCTTTTCTTTTTTAACACAATACTTGGTGGTATCTGCATGTGACCCCGGAACTGCTGTAGCAATCTTACAACCCTGAGGAAAAAGACACCAATTTGCTGAAAATAACACTGAGAAAATCCCCGTGTCCCTGAAGCACTGGATCACTAAGCCCCGTACCAATAACAAATAGCTTTGCCTCCAGACTTCTTGTTGGATAATAGTTCTTCATTTATGGCTTTAGTTTAAGCCATCTTTATCTGGGTATTGTTACTTGAGGGCCAAAGCATCCTAACTAATAGAGCTAGCAAATACCTGTTCACTCAGCGCTATCCAGATCAGGAAGTTAGACTACTTAGCTGACTCCAGCCATTACCAGTGTCTCTGCTTTGACCCCTACTGTTTCGTTCATGCTTTTCACTAAGGAGCAAACTCAATGTAATTTTCATCTCACATCTGTGCTTCACAATAAAGTTTGTTTCTTCTGCAACTCAACATGACGGTCAAGGGGAAGGTACTTTTTGCTTCTCAAGTATGTTTTTCGGTTATGTCTGCTTTTAACAGCATCACAGATGTGTTACAATCTTTAGCTTGCACTTTCTTTCTTACTATTCAAACCCTAATCCCATATTGAAGTCACAACTGATCTAAAATTTCCAGAGAGAAAAATGCTAAAGATAAAATAAGGATTTGCCTCTAGAGTGGGTGATCCACATACATCAGTAAGCAGAGCTGAGTGGTGAGCATCTTCAATGATGAATAACTGAATGTACTAGCCTTTCCATCTATAAGGAACACAAAAAACTTAACTTCAACTTACAAAAAAGGAAAAAGAGACATAATGAATTATATACAGATGAGTTCAAAATCCTAGCTTATTACAGTTTATTCTTGAGAGACCTCACTTGTTTCTTACATGCTATGCTTAAAGAGATAAAGATCCTACTAAGATTTTTCATGTAAACTCACAACAGGGGAAGAACCCTTAAGCAAGAGCTGATAAAACCTTTGTTGAATATTATACAGCAATGCTGCAAAATGAAAACTTAGCCAAACTAGTCAAGCAGGTAAAACTGACATGTGATTTATTAGGAAAAAACAGTTTTTTAAGAGGAAAAAGCCCACAAACCCTGAAAATTTCAGATCCTTCTCTTTGATGTAGTTTCCTTTATTGTGTTTCTGCTTATTACAAAAATATGCCCACTAAAGGGGAAAAAAATCAAAATTACAAATGTTGCTGAAAATCAATTAGAAACACAAAAGCAAATACTAGAAAAAATTTTTGTGAAAATATAGCACAAAGACTCAAAAAAAAAATCCACGATGCACTAAAATTACCAATACTTGGGAAACAAAAAAACAGAACTGGGGATACTCATTTTCAACCAAATGGCTATTTAAGCCAAACTGCTATGATGATCAAATTGCTTTCAACCAAAGTATATGCTACCCTATATTTTCAAACCATGGTCTCACTTATCTTTAGACCTTTGCATACAGTGTTCCCTTTGTACAGGGCACTCTTCTCTCCCCAACTCATCTGGCTGATTAATGAGGTACTGATAAGTACCTGAGAACTAAAACCTATTAAAATGATTAATATGGGAACCTGATTTAAAAAAAAAATCAAGATTTGTAGTTCCTTGTTTTAAAAGTCCTTGTTTAAACAAGTTAAATAACTGACTTGTTATATCATTTGGTTTTATTGCATCATTTTTAATATTTAGATAGGATAACAATTTATGTCAAATATTAATTAAATAGCTTTATAGGAAAATAAAATTCTGGTGACTATTAATTCTGTCTACATTCAAACTCACTACTCATAATTAAGAAGGTAAAGCAGTCCTAAAATGAAAGAGTTTTAAAACTGATATTCTATGTAATAAGTTATTCACTACAGCACTGCTGTAACTTCAAGATATTGGAAACAACTTACATGTCCATCAATGAGAGATGAGTAAAAATAATTATGGTACATACATACAACAAAGTACTATGCAACAGTAAAAAAGAACAAGGTACAATTAGGCAATAAAATAAAACATCCAGATTGGAAAGGAAGAAGTAAAACTATCTTTATTTGCAGATGATATGATCTTGTACATAGAAAATGCTAAGGGACCCACTAATAAGATTATCAAAACTAATAAATGAGTTCACTAATGTTGAAGCATAAAAGATCAATATATAATAATCAACAGTATTGCTGTACACTTGCAATGAATAATCTGAAAATGAAGTTAAGAAAATAATTCCAGTTATAACAGCATCAAAAAGAATAAAATACTTGTAATAAGTGTAACAAAAGTATAAAACTTATGTTCTGAAAAGATAAAACATGGCTGAAATTTTAAAAGACCCAACAAATGAAAAGACATCTCACATTCATGAATCAGAATGTGTAATATTGTTAAAATGGCCCTACTCCCAAGGTTGAGCTATTAAGTCAACATAAAATCAATCAAAATTCCAGCTGGTTTCTTTGCAGAAATTGACCGCCTGATCCTAAAATTCATATGAAAATTCAAGAGACTCAGACTCACAATAACCAAACAATCTTGAAAAAGAACAAAACTGGAGGACTCACACTTCTCGATTTCAAAACTTGCTACAAAGCTACAGTAACCAAGACTGTGTGGTACTAGCATGTGAACAGACACGACATGGGTGAGTGGAAAAGAATTAAAGAGTGCAGCAATAAACTCTCACATTTAGGTCAACTGATTTCAGTAGAATGTCAAGACAATTCGATGAGGAATAAACAGCTTTCTGAACAAACAGTGCTGGGACAACTTGTTATCCAAAGAAGGAAACTGGACTCCTTTCTCACTCCACATACAAAAATTAACTCAAAAGGTAAACACTAAAACTATAAAACTCTTAGAAGAAAACACAGGTGTAAATCTTCATGACCTTCAACTAGACAATGGTACATGACACCAAAGCACAAGCCACAAAATAAAACATTTGTAAAATGGACTTCATCAAAATTAAAAACTTAACGTGCTTCAAGGAAAATCATCAAAAAAGTGAAAAGACAATCCACAGAATGGAATTAAACACTTGCAAATAGTTGTATCTAAAATATATAAAGAACCCTTAACAATATAAAGACAATTCAATTTAAAAATGGAAAATATGCAAAAATACATTTATTTTTAAATATATAAACAAATGGTTAGTAAGTACATAAAAAGATGCTCAACATCATTAGCCGTCAAGGAAATCCAAATCAAAACCAAAATGAGTTACCACTTTATATAAGATAATAACAACTGTTGATGAGGATGCAAAGAAATTGGAACTCTCTCCTGGTAGGACTTAAAACGGTCCAGCTGCTATGGAAAACAGCTGGCCACCTCCTCAAAGCGTTAAACACAGCTACCATATGACCCAGAAATTCCACTCCTAGGTGTGTACCTTAGAGAACTGAAAACATCTATCCAAACAAAAACTTGCACAAGAACGTTTATAATAGCATTACTCACAATAGCCAACAAATGGAAATAACCAAATGTTCATCAAAGATAAATAGATTTTAAAAAGAGGGATATAGCCATACAATGAATACTGTTCAGACATTAAAAGAAATGGACTATTAATACATGCTACAACATGGATGAATCTTTAAAACATATGTTAAGTGAAAGAAGCCATTCACAAAGGATCACATATTGATTACACGATTCCATGTAAACGAAAAGTCCAAAATAGACAAATCTAAGGAGACATAAAGTAGAATATATCTATTACCTTATCAAATTAGATTATTTTTTTAAAACAACTATGTTGTTCCTATGTTTATATGTGCTATGTCTTCCTAAATCCTAAACTAATTCTTCTAAAATATTTTTTAAAGCACTTGAAAGCACAAAAGCATGTTATGAATCAAAGATGAAAGATATGAATCAAAGAGGAAAGACTTAGAATTTTTTTCTTCTTTTCTTTTTTTTGGGGGGTGGGGTGGTGGTGGCAATTAGGTTCATTTATTTAGTTTTAGAGGAGGTATAGGGGATTGAACCCAGGACCTCCTGCATGCTCAGCACGCACTCTACCATTTGAGCTATACCCTCCCCCATGGCCTGGAATTTTGAAACAGCCAAGGAAAACTCATAAACCTTAAAGGCAGAAAACCAATTTGTCTTCAAATGACCAAAATTCCCTGCAAGGTAAATTCCAGCCTCCTTTTGAAATGAAAATTATGGTCAAGAATTTAACTTTAATTCACAAAATATCTGTATATTTTATAAAGGCAATCATCAATGTAAAGCTGAAATGTGCTGGATTTTATATTACAGTGAATAATTTTAAACTAAATGCAACAAATACTTAAAATACTTCTTGGAATAACAGAAATAGCATAACTTGGAGTCAGACACACGGTTTGAATCTTAGTCTGCTATTTACCATCTAGGTGATCATGAACAATTTACCTGGTCTCTGTGAGCCTCAGTTCCCCTTCCAGTTAAATCAGGAAGTATAATACCTACTTTAGTATGAAAAGAAAGGTTTTAACTATTTAAGTAGTGGGAAGATGGGGGAATAGTGCTTGGATGATTTCACGAAATCTATCTAAACTGCTTGAATTATTTTTTTACAATCTGTAAATAATTTTAAAACACATTGAAGATTTAAAAATTTAAAAATCTACATTATGGGGTTCTTTTGGAGAAATTTTTGTAAGACATCTACACACGAGAGACTCTCGGTTAAAAATAAATTTTCTCACTCCTTCCAAAGCCTTTTTATCTTCTTGAATTCAGGTGAACAAACCGTGGAAGAAGCAAAGTTAAACATTTATTTTTCTGAAGGCTATAGTTATCAAGACAGAGATACCTAAGGGCAATAAAACTAATTTTTAAACCACTTTCCTCAAAACATACCAAAGAATTTAATCTAAAAAGAAAAAATTTCCACGTTTACTGATTCTAATCACCTTATTCTAACACTTTAAAGTTTTTGCTGTTGTTGTTCTTGCAATACAAAATAATACTAAGAAGTGAAAAGGAATTTTAGTACCTTTAATCATTTGACGAACAAGACAAATTCAGGATTCAGTCCAGAGAAATAGTTTTCACTGAAAAACACAATACAAATACAAATAATGACTATCATTCATCTAGCAAACAAAAGATAAGCTCCATCTTTTTTGCTTTGACAGTGCACTGAACAGACGAATGCAATTTAGTTGATGTAGTTTAATATGACTTCGCAGGATATTGTTGAGAATTAAAACATTCTCTTCCATATTCTAATAGGTGAATAAAGTGAATGTGAGGAAGAAAGTCGCTTTGCACGTGAAAAGGGTGCCATGTTAAAATCACCAAAATACACCAGGACCGCTAAAGGTAGTAATGTGGCCTTTGATAACCTGCCTTAAAAACTGAGTCATTAGACTTTTACAAGCATTTAACTTACAGGAGTGTATATAACTTTAGAATTTCTCATCAAGTGTCTCTAAGCACATAATTAAACTCTCATGTCCCTTAAAGTTTATAAATCCTATTCTGGACCATTAATACATATATTACTGAAAAAGAATTTCCTTCAGTTTATATTATTTCAAGAACATGTTTCTGAAATGGGGAAGCACAGTCAGGAAATTCTAGAAAGATACAATGATTTACGGAACTATTTCATCTCACCCTCACTGGTTGGATGGGACAAAATTAAAAACTTAAAAGTGGTAAAAGCCAATAGGTAAGGGGTTCCCCAGCTCCCAGGCTTTTTCCTTTCCAGTCTCTGCAAGCCACCTCAAAACTCCAACTCTGGATGACATGAGTTCTTAGCAGTCCCCGCGGATACAGCCCTTGGCCTAGCCTCCAACCACTGCTTCTCCTGGTGGCCCGAAGACAGCCAGGCGCAGGGGTGGCAGGACGGCCGCCCCGCCCGAGGGCGCGCGGGCGCAAAGGAGAGACACCCGTGACTCACTCGCTCCGGGCCCGCCGCCAAACCGCACCACCTTCACCCGCGCGCGGTCCCGGGACCGAGCTCTCAGCGCCCCCAAGAGGTGGCAATACCCCTCCCAAGGCAGGCCCCCTCCCCCGGCAAACCCCCTTCCCCGGCGAGGCGGGGGCCACTCGCAGACCTGAAGTATCCTCGGCTCACGGAAGATCCCAGCAGCAGCCATCCGCCCCGCCCCCGCCCCGCGAGCATGCGCACCAGGCCAGCCCGCGCCTGCGCGCCCCCGAGCGACCCCGCCGGCACGCGCCGC